ACCTTTTGACCTCCTGAATTCTGCAATATGAGATTTTCGGCCCGAGTCGATTCAGTCGAGACGGCCCGAGTGGAGTTTCATGTAAATGTTTCGTACGGAAAAAAAAATCGCCTCCAGGATTTTGGGATGGTTTTTCTGCGCTGCCAGGTGAGCTGGTGACCGCCCTCTATTGTCAGCAAGTGTACAGTCAGCTCCTATAAAATGAATTCATTATTGTGTCTGTCTCTTATACACATCTAGATGTGTATAAGAGACAGAAACACTTTGCATGTCCACCTGCAGCTGCAAGGTGTCCCAGTGTATTACCATTGCCTGTATAAATGAGAAAATCAAGCCAGTGATGCAGTCGGATTATTTATTCTGATTGTAATATATACATAGTAAGTAGTTAAAGCGGATAATGGCCCTTGATGGCATTTGCAACAATAAAGGACCTTGAAATGTTGAAACCTAAATGAAATTGTTATATCTGGAAAACTGGCAAGCACAAAAATATCAGAGCAAAACAATATATAAATATGTCAGCAGTTGTGTTTTAAGACATTTTATTGGGTTTTAACTTTTGAACTGTTTTTCCTTATTATTTTTATTGTAAATTGTATGGCTCTTTTTGCACCTTCTTGTTTAACTTGGCACTGTATGTATTCATTTTATTTCTTGTCATCTGCCAAGCAATGCAATTTTCTGTATTTTTATATGAAAAAATAAAATTTCTTGAATCTTGAATCTTTGTGTAATCTACTGCCACCTTACACTAATATCATTTTGAATTTACTTCATCAGCATTCAACATCAAGTAACTTGATTCATACAACATGAAAGTTTAGTTACTTTATCCTGCACTGAGCAGGAAATAATATTACCTCATACCAAGTATGATTATCTTTGAAATGTGGGAAAGAAATATTTCAATTGTTTAGTTTTTGGGAGGAGAGTTATATAACCTTCCACTTACAATACTAACATAGATATAGAATAAACACATAGCAATTTTTCTGAAAAACCACAAATTAAAAACTGTAGAATATAATAAAAAATTTTTTCATGGTCTTACCATCTTTATCATTTGTCTCTGCACCTTTTTCAAGTAGCCAATGAAGGGATGTCATGGCCCCATTCTGAGCAGCACTATGGGCTAATGTTTTTCCTGATGAATCCAAGCTGCTGAAGGCAGCACCATGCTTTACTAAAAAACGCAGGCATTCAATGTGGTTATAAGCTGCGGCATAGTGAGCCGCCATGCAACCTGAATGGTCGCGGATTGATGTATCACAGTCACACTGTAGTAATTTTACCAGACACTCTAAACCTGGTGAGAAAGAAAACCATATACAATAGGCTGTGTTGTTATTGAAAACCATATATACAATACTGTAGGCTGTGTTGTTATTGGAAACTTACAGTACTGTAGGCTGTGTTGTTATTGAAAACCATATAGAATACTGTAGGCTGTGTTGAATACTGAAAACCATATAAATAGGCTGTCATGTTATTGAAAACCATACTGTAGGCTGTGTTGTTATTAAAAACCATATACTGTAGGCTGTGTTGCTGTTATTGAAAACCATATACAATACTATAGGCTGTGTTGTTATTGAAAACCATACAATAGGCTGTGTTGTTATTGAAAACCATATACAATACTGTAGGCTGTGTTGTTATTGATTCAAAGAGTCACACTGAAAGAAGACAAATACTGAATAGTTGTTAATTCATAATCTGAGTTTTGACAAATAACATTAAATCACCCCTGGTAACTCGCATTATGTTTTCTGAGGAACATAACATTACCCTGCCCATCAGAATGCTGTGGCTGGAATTGAATCACTTTATATAGTCATAAAATACTGCTTTTAAAGGTGAATTAGCATCAGTTCCTTTTAAAAGCCCATCATGCATTAGAAAGGCCCAAGAGAAACTTTAGTAATACATCAAATTAGTAGTTTGTCAACATCAAGATTTTTCCCCGAAAAAAGAGAGAAATAAAAAAAGTACAGTACCGCCATGCATTGCAGCATAATGT